ATTTTCCATGCAATCAACTAAGTCCTCAATCTCACCTCTTCCGCCGTCTAGTCCTTCTGTGGACTTGGATCTAGACTCACGCATAGAAAGGTTAATCACCCGACCAACACATACTCCAGATCCTGTGCCTCCTCCCCCTCCGCCGCCGCCACCCCCACCGGTACCGCTTCCTCAACGATCGCATACAGACAATGGTCACACAACTCACCTACCCCCTGCCCTTCTTGCTCGTCGAACGGCCATAGCAAACAAATTGGCTGCTGCCAAGGCACTAGGAAGTCATGCATCTTACGACGTGGCAGATTCCATCAGTTCCACTATAACTGCACCGAAAGGCGATGATGAAATTTACGATCTTCTAGNTACATTCAAATGTGCGGCAATGGTTTACGGAGTTCATTCGCAGTGCTCGTTTGTGTTGTGGGTGGCACTCCTGCAGCCATGTTTGGGCTCCTACTAAACTTCACGACATTTACGGCAGCATCCTCCCAGCATCCTCCTCCTTGCTTTGAAGGAATTCGTTGTGAGACGTATTCATCATGCTTCTGTAAATGGTTTACTGAATCGGTCGTTCCGTGTTTATCTTTCAAAAGCCATATGTCGCTCAGATGTCCTTGTAAATAATACTTTTCGGACTTGTAAGTAGGAATGAACAGTAATGGTACAATGGTATGTACAACGATAACCTTATGCACTCTTACCTTTCCTCAATTCGGGTGTTGTTTTCAGCTGATATTTCTCCGGTTTGCAATGAACGTTGCAGGGATGAACTTATCCCGAACATAAGTCACAGTACCGAAAACCACTCCCCGATTGTTCATTGTTTTATACATAAAACATCTATTGCTTTCGTTACTTATTCACTTTTTTGGTGTGTTTATTCCCCAATTTCCAGTCAGCTATATGCTTGATCACCCGACCGAATTGCTCTCTTTTGTACTTCTCTACGTCCTTCACCCTACTTGTACCTCACACAACCAGAAGTGTTCATTACGGTTCAAAACGATTCTTGCACCTTGAGCTAAACCATGCAGGATTAACTAGAGGCTTTGGAATTACTAAAATAGCTCTAATACAGCTATAAGCATGCCCCATTATAGTTTATCAGCTCTAGTTATTTCTAAAAACCGTACCCAGCCCAGTTGCATCTTCATTTTCCTCTTATTTTGACAGTCAATAAGAGAGCAACTAGCTTGCGTATGGTCTTGAACTTCGGGTGTTTATTACCTCGTCCATTCCCAAGTTCGTCGATCCAGTTATTCAACAGATTTATCGTCCGTTCACATTGTTTTGCTCACATAAGCGAATTAACTAAGCAATGGTCGATAAATTGACGCTATTCTTCTTTTGTAAGTGATAAACTTCTCACGGCACGCGAAATTTTTGTGTTGCATCAAATCAGCTCTAGTGTATTTCGGAGTACATTCACATGCTAGAATCACGATGTAAAAACCAGGTTTGCGGTAATTTTTGGATTAGAGTAACGGCTTCATTTTGGGAATTCGAGCTGTTGTGTAGTGCAGTGGACAGGCTTATCCCACGATTCCCGGACTTATCATGCGAAAGCACGTCCAGCTTTCTGCATAAACCGGCCGACTTGCTGGTCGTTTTCGTATGACAAAATTGGTCGATTGTTGTCAAGGTGACCTGGAGTATGTAAGTCGAGAAGGGTGAGTTTGCTTTCAGCCAGATATGAGAGGAAAGGTCGGCAGGAACTGTTTTAGTGACCAAAAGAAATTAACTGTGTTGCACCCAGTTGCGCAGCGGATAAACGAAATCGAAAATAGTTTCCATTACCACCTTTAGAATGCGGTTGTGATTGTCCGCACATGTATTGGTATCGTTATCTTGCATCGCTGTGCTTTTATTTTGGTCAGTCTAGTTTCGTCACCGTTTTAAGCGTAGATAATTGATACCACACATGTACTTATCCGTTCCAAGCCAGAAAAGTAGTATCATTTCGGACGAATAAACGTATGCGGTACCAGCTTTTTTGTAAGATATTTCGATAAGCAGAGACTATTCTGAGTTGGCCAAAATTTCTGCAATGATACTTGAGAGAATAGAAATCGCTTAATCCCGGTCGATGCATCGGCTATACAGAATGAAAGTATTATGGCGGTCCTATCGAAGTGTCTGATTGCATAAGTTTGCACGATCGGCTACCAACGCTACTCAATTTTTCTCTTCAACCTACCAGTGAATCTCCGATGCTTCACCCATTCAGTTCCTTTCCCTTTCGAGCTCGGTTCATTCACTGAATTCCGTGTACTAAATACAAGAACGTTACGATTTACATGAATGCGCCTCAGTTACAGTGTGACTGGTAGCGTGGAAATTTAGAACTTTTGGTCAACATGATCGGTTAGTCGGGAACCGATAAGACGATCATGGTACCTTCAACAGTCACCAAGTCAGTATCCTGTTTTGACTGACTCGGGTTCGGTTTGTTCCTGTATCATTCATTCCATTCACACATTAAATACATGTGTTTATCCCTGGTCTGCCTCTGCTACTGTGTTCTCGCTTTTACCCAGTTAGCCTAAGCGGCGCTGGTTGTGTTCATGACTGGAAGGTCGACTACAACAAGGACATGGTCACATGAAGATCATGATTTGAAATCATCTCAGGCATGTTCAACCTTGGCGATATCGTATGTTTGCAGAAGTGTGAAGAATTCCACATTCAGGTACCAACTGATTCTTGTCCAACCTATTCTACCTCCTGTTTTCTGATGTGATCGCTTCCGTTTTACCGATAAAACAAATCGGTGATCAACAACAGTGTTGTAGTCGGAGGCTTACAAATGTGAACAATTTTCAAAGGTTTAATGAAAGTGGAATTGTCTGTCAAGTGCAACATACAGGGGTTACGAAAACCTGTCAATTGATGGTTTACCTATCTGCAGCAGTCATCTATACTTACGTTTTATGATGTTTTCACCTTCCGGAATACCATAAATCTGAGCTATAGATTTTTTTCACTATTCCAGTATGCTCGGAATTGCTCCTCTATCTGTCTTTAAGCTGGTAGATATCGAATATCGTGTTTAGGGGTCAGCATTGCTTCGCCCGTTATTCACTGGACTGGAGCACTGCGGAGTGAAATGAGCCGCTTCGGTAAATGGTTAGTCATTTCTCACTTTTGAAAGACATTCAAACAGCTGTTAGAATTTTCAGGGTTCATTTTGTTAGTGCATCGAATCGAATACGAAGTAGCAAATAACGGCATTTCGGTGGAGCCCTATGTGGATGTTCCGCTTTCCATTTTACGGATGGAAACGCTTTTTTCGAGTTTCGCGTATTTTTGTTCAGTATATCTGGTGGTTATGTCCATTATATACTTCTGCAACAGAGTGGCATTCCGATGGGAGTTGGTCGGCAAGCGGTCCAGTTCGTTCATTCCCTTCCGAGCAGCATCCACCAGGTTCAGTGCATGTCCTTTCAGAGTTCGGGATGTCGTTTGAATATGACAACGTCGCGGATAGTTCCAATAGGTTTTGGGATCACGGTTCTCGTCAGTACATTCCCTGATAAATCGCATAACTACCTCCACTTCAGCATTACCTGGCTTTGACTTTCAACAACTTGTTCAAGTCGCATAACCATAGGCTGTCCGCGATGTTTCGAATCCTAGAATATTCCCATAGACAATGTAGAAAACTGTTCGCGAAGAAATTTATTTTCGATTTATCCTATCTGGCGATTACATGTCTAAGGTAGTCGTAGTACAGACATTGATTGACCGATTAAAGCTCAGTTTATAACCGTGACAGGTGAGCAAATAGAACAAGCGAATATGACAAGGCTAGTGATAGTCAATGCTATAGTCGCGGAGGGTTTGAGAGGATAAGGGTGAAATAGAAAACGGAAGAGAGATAGGCAGATCAAAATAATGATGAAAGTTGTGAGCTAAGACAAGAGCGGGATGAAGTTGTGTAAGATATACAAGAAACTGTCATGTACAGCAAGTGATACCGACCCAGTATTCTTAATCCATCGACCAACTCCAAGCGAAATATCAATCCATCTTCCAACAGTACGTGGTGGACAGCACCGCCAAATCTACTGAACAAAAATACGCCGAAATCGTAAACAGCCTCGAGACCAGCATTCTCCAGTCGAAGTTAAAGAAGTTCCGAAAGATACGTACACAAATATTCGTCTGTCCAGCTCGATAGGTTGCAGTTTCAAGTTTTGTCCCTTGGTCCTCAATTTTGTGCCTTTGAACCGGAGTTTCACCAAATAGAGACAGTTTGAAAACCTCGTGCACCAACTTAGCGATTTAACACGTAACGATACCCATCTAGTTGATCAACTGAAGACATCTCTTGTGCATCATTGTCACCAGTACCAGAACACAAACCCAGGCAAGAACTGCTTTGGCAAAGAAACATACCGACGCCATTAACGTCTGTGTTGGAAAGTTTTGTTTGGATTGGTCGTTGGTTTTATTGCATAAATTGTTTTTATGAGTGTACCGTATACGATTTTCAATTTGCAAACCAAACAGAGATAATCTGATTGGTTCGAGCTTATGTATGAACGCCTGTGATTCCCTTCCCAAGTGTGATTTGTGTCCGATGCACTTGAAACAAATTGAGAGCATTTCCTGAAGAACCGACTTTTAACGATGTCCTACTTCAAACAAGCATACCATAATGTGTCTATCGAATAAAGAGGCCGACTAGGTGTTACTCGATAAAGTTGATTACCACTAAACTAGACAACATCCTCAGCGACTCCACCAAGTTTTCTGCCAGACTATACATGAGAAAGGCATGGAAGAGAAAACGGAATCTGTGTTACCGTTCACCTTGAGTGGACTAAAGATAGGTCACATATCATAAGCGGTTTTCGAAAAGTTGGTCCCGACTGGATCCTCGCCGCCGCGGTTCTATGGATTACCTAAGGTGCATGAATCAAACGTTCCGATACGACCTATAATTTATGTGTCAAGTTCTCCATATCATGCTATCTCCCAATGGATCGTAGTACTTCTAGAGTCAGAACGCCGAAGGCTTGTTAAACAGCTTGAAGAATACGTTCAGCTTGATAGAAAAGATAGAAGACCAACAAAACAATGATGTCTTTCGACTTGGAATCAATGTTTACAAACGTACCGCCGATCGAGGCAGTTGATCACATAAGTGACTTCTTAGTATCCAAACGCTTTTTATTCCATTGAATGGAACAGATCTAAGAACTCACCGGAATAGGTTATCAAAGTAGTTCCCGTTCCGTGAGAAAAAAGTGTACCGTTTATCTTGCAAAGGATACAGAACTTATTCGGGGTAAGATACACTCAACCATCGAAAACCTTGTAATTTGTGTTAGCAGGAGCGTCATCCGAGCATGCAAATACCTGTTAAAATATACGCAGTAAAGAGATGAGTTGACTATCCTAGGCAACCAGACATTTAGTTCAGTAAATGCATCTGCAATGAAGTTCCAAAAGAAG